AGGCGTGTGCCACCCCACCTGGCTTTTGATTTTAAATTTTGTGTGTGTGTGTGTGCTGGTGGATGGAATCCAGGCCTCCTGCATCTTAGAAATGCTGTACCACTAAGCAACACACCAGCCTTACATTGTTTAAGTTGAGGTGAAATTCACATAACATCAGGTTTACCGTTTTAAAGTGAACAATTTGGTGGCATTTAGTACATTTACAAAGTTGCGGAATTACTGTTCCTACCCAATATATCCCAAAACATTCGCATCCCCCCAAAAGTACGCCCCCATATCCATTAGGCAAGTTACTCCCCCACTTGCCTCTTCTCTGGGCCCCTGTAACCACCAGTCTGCAGAGTATAAATTTCCTTTTCATTTCATATAAATGGATCATAAAATATGTGGCCTTTGTTGTCCTCTTTCATTCAGCATCACACTGCAAGGATCATCACGTGGTAGTCTGCGCCAGTGACTTTTTCTTTTTTATGGCTGAATAATATTCTACTGTGTGGAGATGCCACTTTTGTTTGTTGCATCCACTGATGGACACTGGGGTTGTTCCCAGCTTTTGGCCGTTGTGAATAGTGCTTCTATTTGTGAACATGTTTTTGTTGGAGTCGCCACCTTCAGTTATTTCATGGTGGGACCCTGGCTGCTCGATCCTGTATGGCATTGTCTGCCAGGTGTGCAGGCACATTATAAGCAAGACCACCCTAAAGGACGCTGGGGAAGCTCCGTCCTATCGCTCTTGGAAAGGATGGAGCTGCGATTCTCCTGTATGCCACGAGGTGGCGCCAACACTCAGAAAGCGCCTCATTAGCGGGGCCGGCCAACTGAGTGAAGAGCTCCCAGGGTTCTTTGTTGAGCTAGAAGGGCCGGTTTTCTCTCAAGGATCCAGCAAGGCTAAATCCAGAGACAACAACTTTACACTCACTACTCCTGTGACCGACCCACATCCAACTATGATTAGGATGTTCATAACCTGAGAACTCTTTTTACTTCAGGCAGCTACTTCAGGTTCCAACTGGCTCCTGCCACCGAAAGGACAAGGAGATTAAGTGCCTAGGGTGTCAGAATCAACACTGTAGACAATTCTTCATAGACGTCCTCTGGTATTCGTTGGCTTACACAGCCAATTCTCCAGCGAGTCTGACTTGCATGCCCAGCAAGCAAGAATTACCTCTCTCTTTTTCCTCAACACCCCGAGGAGGTTCTTTGCAGCATTGTTTATGGTACTAAAAACAAATGGCAAATGCCAGCATGGTGGCACACACCTGTAATGCCAGCACTCAGGAGGCTGAAGCAGGACTGCTGCGAGTTCGAGGCCAGCCTGGGCTGCGTAGTGAGTCCAAGGCCAGCCTGAACTACACAGCAAGACCCTGTCTCAAAAAACAAAGCAAAACAACAACAAAACAAAGCAGGGGCACAGGTGCTTGGAATGGAATTCAGCGTGAAGGCTCCTGGTTCAGTCCCCTTGTACTAGAAAGTGAAATCGATAGTCAATGTCTATTAGTAGGGGACTCTAGTTTTTGCGTCTTTTTTTTTTTTTTTTTTTTTTTTTGAGACAGGGTCTTGTTGTGCAGTTCAGGCTGACCTTGAGCTCACTTCGTAGCCCAGGCAGGCCTCGAACTCGTTGTATCCCTTTCTTAAGGCAACAGTTCGTTTTCTTTTGGGGGTCCATCCTTTCCTCATTCCCAGTCCAAGCAGAGGGAGCGCTACTCCTGGCTACGAGGCGGGCCATACAGCTCGGGTCTGAGCTGGTGATCGCATCTCATCTCTCTGCCGCTGTGACAGGGTGGGAAGACTGTCCCACCAACTGGACCCGTCAGTCTGAACCCCGGGTTCTTTGCAAGGACTAACCAAAAAAAATGCGCACGCCGGGGGTCACTTGCCAGTGAACTTTAGCTGGCAGGAGATGAGGCTGGAGTTCCTGAGGGCAGCTGAAATGAACTTGGAGACCTATTCCACAGCATGGTGGCGCTGGTCAATAATGTTCTGTATCCCTTCCCCTTACTGAGGGAGTCGCCTTAAGTGTTCTCACCACACACAGGCAAACATGTGAGACGGACACGCTAATTAAGCTTCTAGCAGACATGTTATAATGTGTACATATAACAGTGCACACATACAACACACGCTACTGCACACCCTGAGCAGATGTAGTATTTGTCAACTGTACTTCAACAAACCTGAGGGGGGAACACTTCAGTTGTAAGTATGAGAGAGCCAAATTCTAACTGGGGTAAGAAAAGGACGCCGGGCACGTAACCCAGCTACTAGGGTCGCTGAGGCAGGAGGGTCACGAGCTCAAGGCTGGTCTGGGCAACGAAGAGCAACCCTGTCTCAAAATAAAAAAAGGGGCTGTGGATGTAGCCTAGTGGTGGAAAGCTCCCGGGTTCAAGCCCAGGCACAGGAAGCAAAGGCAGGGAGGCGGCGGCAGGCCCGACACTCTCCCCTATTCCCCAAGTCTTGGGTCGCCGCCTTCTCCTGTGACTGGATCCAGAGATTCTCAGTTTCCAGCTACCTCCTGGTTCCACCTTTGCCACACTGACTTCATGTTCAGCTGTATCCATTTGGGACACAAGGGTCAAACTTTTCATTCAATTTTGTGCCACGTCACCACAAACGCCCCAACTTCTACCATCCACCTCTTTCGCTCTGATTCTGTTCTGGCTGCAACAACTGACCTACCAGGACCCCTGATTACCTGAAGGTGGCACCCTGGTAGGAGGCTCCGAGCTCTGCTTCCCGAGGACCCAGACCCAGGCCCTGCCTCTGCCTTCCCACCCAGTTGGCGACA